CCTAAATGAGAATGGCTTATTATGAAGACGTCAGATTTTTCGATTACGCCTATTCTCAAATAAGAACATCGGACCTTGCCATTATGTATGAGCGACGTGAAAAATATGCATTAACCATAGTCGTATTGTACGATAGAAGTAATCAAAAGATCTGAAACTGTCATAATAAAAACTACGAGTGGCTCTTTTCAAGGTATTCAAAGCTCATTAGAACAGATATAATCCACATATAGTCCCCACTCAAAAGTAATTCGACATTTAGAAACGTTCCCTCGTAGTAATGCTTTGAAAATTGAAGACAGTAACAATTGACTGAAATCAAAATCGGAACCGATCGATATTCGTGTCTTTCTTATGATGTTTAAATTGGAGGAAAGAGAATTGATAAAAAAAATTGTTCGTCGGATTTCTGCTTATGTTTACGAACATTTAACGCAAACGAGAAGAATTGGCACTTGGAATCGAATCGAAAACGAACTCGCTGACGATCTCATATCGTTATTTCAGCGGCATAAAGATTTCAATTCATCTGATACTTGGTTCTCAATGATGATCTTTGTTCAAGTACAGGTTTTCTATTGGCTTTAAATTGTTATCAAACGATGTTTGATCTCAGTAGTTTCGATCGAATGAATGTGATCTAATTAATGACAGAGAAGAAATCATTCGATTGACAAGTAGTAGTTCTATGTTAAAGAACGACTCGAACTATCGTTTATTTGACCATCACCTCTGTTTCCATCCTATAGTAGAGAATTTCTTGTTAATTGTCGAATATCTTATTCTATTATTGTTGATTCCTTATGATCTTTCTCCAAAAGAACTTATCAAGTTTATTTGTGTCCTACGTCAGATCTACTAAGAAACTTATTCGGATCGATTATCGCTTTCGCTTAAAACGATCAACAGTTGATCGAAAACTGTTGTTGTGGAGTGATCGTGTGAAAATTTGAGAATCATTCTGAAGATGAAAAAACACAAGCGCAAAACAAAACTCATCTGCAATTCGACATATGATTTCTTCTTAAAACAAAGAAATATTTCAACGAAAAACCAGAATAATTGCTTTTATTCATAAATTCATCCACTACTCTATTGCTATTCTGAGCAATAGAAAATTCGTAATTTAATCGGAATAGGAAATATCAAATACATTGGAGATTTTTTACCACACTGGTGGTGTAATCTTTGATATAATAAATGAAAGAACTTTCATGTAAAATCTATCTGTGTTCACCTCAAGTGATGTTTGTTTCCTCGATCATGAGCGAATTAAGATCGATTGGCCATTTCCATTCGCTTCGTCATCAACAAAACTATGTCGAACAACTCACAACAGATTGCTGAGAAAATAGCTACAATAACAATGAGTGTATCCTTGATTTGAATCTCATTCGTTTATTGATGTTTCCAACTTGGATGAACAAGTTGAAAGAAAAAAATTCTTTTTGAATTTGATTTGAAAGCATTTGACACTTTCTGATGAGAAATTCAAGCAGAATACAAAGTACTTGTCATGATCAATAGTATCATGTGAGTTGTATCTGAGCAATACTCATTACTTTGAATGAAATAAAATTTAACGCGAAAACAGTCACGAACAATTTTATCATCGTCAATATTTTCAGACCGCTAAGACATTCACTTTTGTGACAAAAGGCTCGTTGAGTATCTTTGTTCTCAATGCATGATATACAAGAGGACAAAGATTAATTTCATCATTGCCTTGGAGAACTTCATAGGGTCGAAATCATGATAAACTACATGTTTTATTTCTGTTTTGAACGCACTAGAACTCTTCGACATGAAAAACAAATGTCGATGACATCTAGCTACTTGAGGCTCAATCGTTTGAACATCATACGGGCTTGATATTAAGAATACAAATTGATTCCAAGAAGTTTTGTCCAACGAATTTCGCTCTACATTCTCGTCCAAGACCATGATGATTTCGATAAAGGTTCTGAGCTCAAATATTAAACGAAAGAAATCAAAGTTTTTATTTAAATTCACCTTTTTAGTCGTTAATTTCTAACTAATTAGTGTTGTAGCCTGACCTCTCGTAGATTAGCGAATCACTTCATTCTTCTTCTTCCATTTCTCACTCTCTATCCAACAAATAAATGTATGCATTCGAGAATTTTCTTTCGCTGTTTTATTTTTATTTTTCTAATTGTTTTCTTTTGACTTTTGTTGCTCGTTTTTGGATATGGATGTGGATGTGAATAATGATTAATGAAGAACAAAATGTCCCTTGGTTTTTCTTCATATTCTAAGGTATGCGTCATAAAATTGCAATTTTGTTCACCAGATTTCAACATTCTATTCGAACAATAAACATATACCATAAAGTACAGAAAACTCGTTAACCAGAAAATTTACAAACAACAAATGAAATATTAATTTTACAACGTCAACAAATAGCTATTCGTTTTTATATTATTGTTTTTATCTTAGCACTTATAATTATAATAACTTTTACTGGATTAAATTCACAGATACCTTCTACAACAATATTATCTCTAACAGAATTGATATTTGAAGAATTTCAAACTCAATATTCATCATCATTATCATGTCCATGTTCAAGAATAGCAATTCAATATTCAAAATTTCTCTCTGTTAAACCAATTGTTTATCATCAAGTGTGTTCAAGTTATTTTATCTCATCTAATTTTCTTGAATTACTGTGGGGCACTGTATCATATGAAAGTTATTATTGGAATGGAGACATGAGAATATTAAGTACACAATTTCGACTTTTAGTATCACTTTGTTTTCTTGTAAAAAATGTAATTGAACAAAAGATTGAAATACGTTCTTCACAAGAATTAATTAGTGCGAAAGCATTAACACGTCATTCTTTTCAAACTCAAATCAATTCTATTATTAATAATTTTACTGTTCAAGCACCAGCTAGTTTTTGAGGAATACATAAATATATCACAGACAAATTTCGTGCTAATCAACTACATAATATATTCTTTACAGAATGCTATGTTTTTTATCGACAGACCTTTCGCCAAAATAACTTTGTCGAAAAATTTTTGTCAAAATTTTTTTGCAGAAAAGTATTTCGTCTACATATCATATCAAAGAAAAGGGTGTGAGTGGGCGTGGGTGCGGGTGTGGATGTGGGTGGGTGCGTGTGAGTGTGGGTAGAAATGCATTCCCACCCATACCCACACCCAAATGACAAAAAGCCTGTCTTCCATATCCATTTTATCTACAACATTGTTTCAATATACTATAACATATTTTGATGAATCCATAAACATTGATGTTGATTATTTCCTAAAGTTATAACTTGATCAGTTCGTGCTTTTTATGTTAATCATACGACGATTGTGGTATATAAATGCATCAGTAACCATCATCCTAAGTATAAATTTTTATCTGCACAAAAATAAAACATTCAGCACAAATGTATTTCAAGTATTACAATTCCAAGGAAGGCCTCAAAATGTTTTAGATCAGTCTAAGTCTTGTTGTTAATGCCGTTCAGCGCTTGTTTTCGTTGTTAAGGGATCCTAGAAAAAGACTCTGACCACTGTTGTCTTTGCCCGTCCCCTTCGATAACAAGGAAGGACCGGGGAGAGCAAAGGCACAAAGTCTTGACTTAAAAACTTATACTTACTATATTTTTCTTCGAAAAAACATAATATGAATTCCACAAAAAGTGTTATATAAAGTAATGACAGTTAATTATCTACAATCAGATACTTTACCATTCATAAGAAGATTCACTATTCATTTTAAAACTACGAAAGAACCATTCAATAATTGTTTTTATAAAATTAAATTTATCTCATAATCTTTTTTTAATGCCGACACATTAACGTGCTTTTTTACACCAATTTTGAGATGCAAAAAAAAATCTGCATTTTTTATGTCAACTTAATATGATTGCTTATGCTTTCATTATCGAATGAAATTTTTGCATTCTTAACTCATTCTAATATAAATTTTTATTGAACAATGGATGCTTTGTTTTCTATCTATCAATAAGAAAAAGAAAAATTCAATGGAGCTCAAAAATATTGACGAAATTTTTTTACGTATACTATCTTAAAGAAACTATTAAAGTGGACGAAAAATAGTCCAAACATTTTCTTTAAATAGTTTGATAATTGCTTCTCTTCCTTTATATACTATTATGTTATATGTTAATAAAATAAAATAAATAAATAATCATGTCTAATAGTTTTGTTTTAAATTTATATTTATTGATTAAGATGAAAATGTTTCAAAGAGCTACTATATTCTTCTTCAGTTCAATTTTTTTATGTAATTTCAAATAAGATAAAAATAAGAAAATCTTTTTTTTTCTATTTACAAATCTGCCGATATATGCTGTCTTTTTCTGTTTCCATTTTCAAATAATGAAACAGAAAGATAAGGCGATAAAACTGAACGATTCAACCTGTATGTGTTTATCTATCTTTCCACTATATGAAAATAGAAAAAGAAAAAGAGGGTGTGGGTGTGACTGTGGATGTGAATCATCTTGTGATGTGCACTCACTCTCACG